ACTGCTGTGAAAAGTCACAGGGCGGGAAGGCATAGAGCATGCCCGTGCTGTCTCTGCCCTTGGAACCACCCACCGGCAGGCTGATCACCCCCGCGGCCTGCTTCTGTTTCAAGTAGGAGACCAGGTTCCTGAGAAGCCGCCTCTGTAGGCCTGGCTCCACCGTGGGCATCCCCTCAGTGCCAGGCCCGCTGGGGGTTGCCTGGGTGGCTAGAAGCACTGCATAGCCATTGGGGCTCCCCTGCTTGATGCGCCGTGTGACCTCATCGAGCTTGGGCTGGTCCAGTCGCAGGCGCTGGGCGATCTTCAACTGGGTCAGCTTGCTCCCAGAAGTGTGATCTTTGAGGAGGCCGGTGATAACCCCTTGGTCCCCCTCTAGGATGTGCATAGATGTCGGGAAGCAACTGTTTTTCAACACTAGGAGCCCATTCCAACCCAGCTGCAGTGTCTGGGCATACTCAGAAAGATTCTTGAGCTTTTTGGTCTCGTGTTTTGGCTCTTCCAGAGGCTTAGGCTCAGCCTCAGAGGTCCGATGATTGCGCTCGCTCTCTCGTGTCTTCTTCCCGTGGGAAGAGTCTGGAGCCTCATGGTGGTGGTGGTGACTCCGCTCCTCAGCCCCATGTCTGCTGTTGCTGAGAGAATTGCTACTTGACTCCTTGGTCCCGTCACTGGCGTGGTTCTCCTTACGGCTGCGCTCAGGAGTGCGATCAGAGCCCCGGTCCACCTGCTGCCCACCACCCTTGGTCCTGCTCCGTTCCTCGTAAGGGGAGTGGGTTGTCCTCCCGCGGTCACTGGAAAGGCTCCTCCGCTTCCGCCTCTCCTCCCAGGGCTTGGGCAGGCCCCGGTCCCCATCTCCCCAGCGTTCTCCACTCCGGCTGCGCACCGAGCGGCTGTAGCCCTCCAAGCTGTTTCGCCGGTCAGAGCTTTTACTAGGGCTGGTCCAGTCCCCTTCCAAAAAGGTCCGGTCTCGGTCTGAGTACAGGAGGTGTGGGGGGGTCCTATCCCGCACCCGCAGGTCAGCATCCAGGTTTCGGTGCCGGGTATATCCATCTGGCACCAGCTCATAATGCACGGGGAGGGGTGAGGGCTGGTACTGCTGGGGATATCGAGTCTCCTCTGCTTTGGCAAAATCCACGCGCAGCCTTCGGTCTGGACCACCCAAGGGAAAGCCCCTCATTTTTGCACAGGCAGCCTGAGCTGCATCCAAGCTCTCATACTGGATGTAAGCAAAGCTATCTCCCTTGACGTGATCAATGGTTCGAATGCTCCCAAAGCGATCAAACTCCCGGGCCAGAGCGGCCAGTGAGGTGTTAGGTCCCAGGCCACCCACCCAGAGGCGAGTGGTGGGGTTGGCCTTGCCATAGCCTATCTTAATGGGGTTGCGGCCAATCACCCGGCCTGACATGGCCACCTTAGCCCTGTGGGCCATGTCTAAGTTCTGGAACTTGAGGAAGGCATACGCACCGCCCTGGCCACGGGCAGGTCTCTTGATGACCACCTCCTCGATGATGCCGTACTTCTCGAAGGCCCGCCGCAACTCCACCTCAGACACGCTGTGGTCCAGGTTCCCGATGAAGAGGTTGCGTGTGGCGCGCTGGTCGTCCTCAGGCATCAGGTCCTCCTCGCACACGGCCGGGTAGCCGTAGGGACGCCCGCGATCGTCGTAAAGCCCGTAGTAGTCCAGGGCCCGCTCCCGGGATAGTCCCACTGCGGCAGCGGCGGCAGCATCCAGGGCAAAGGCTGCGGCGGCGTGGCGAGCACGGGGCTCCCGCAGCGGCGGGGCGGCTACGGGGGACAGCGAGCGCTGCTTATATTGGTAGCCACTGTGCAGTGGCAGGTAGCCTAGCGGGTCCGCGGGGGCGGGGGGACCTGGGGGCGGCGTGGAGGCGGCAGCGCTGCTGCTGCTGCTTCGCCGGCTGCTCCCACCGCCGCCACCACTGCCGCCGCCGCCGCCGCCGCGCAGGTACACGGGCTCCACCTTGAGCGGCCGGTCGTAGAGCAGCAGCTGGCGGGCCAGGGCGTGCTGGCGGGCCTCGCGTGCGTCCTGCGGATGCCGGAAGTTCACGTAGGCCACGCGGCCCAGCTCTGGCGTGTGCGACAGGCGCAGGCTGATCTCACCGAAGCGCTTGAACTGATGGAAGAGCCGGTCCTCGAGGTGCTCGGCGGGCAGCGCAGGGCTCAGGCTGCTGATGAGCAGCGTCTTGTACTCAGGTGCGGCCGCCGACGAGCCGGGACCCGCGGGCTCGGTCCCGGGCGGCGGCGGAGGTGGCGGCAGCGGAGACGCGCGGGGCGAAGCACCTGAAGCGCCTGGGTCCCCGGAGGCCTTGCCGCCGCGTCCCCCGCCGCCGGCGCCCGAGCCCGAGGAGCGGCCGCTGCTCGCACGGTGATTCGCGTCCCCGGCGCCGCGGCCGTCGCGATGCCCACCCCCGCCGCCCCCGCTCCCGCGGGGTTTGTCGCGGGCCCGCGTTGGAACGGGATGCTTGGCGCCGCCCGAGGCCTTGTGCGCTGCCCGCCGCCCGCCCGCCTCCGCCTCCCGTTCGCGCTCCCGCGGCCGCTTGGCCGACGATGACGAGCCGCGCCCGCTTGGGCTCGAGTCTCGCTCGCTCTGCCTCTTCATGGCGCCGGCGCAGCGGGCGGGCGGGCGGCCCGCAGGCCCCTCACAGCGGCGGCGGCGGCGGCCGAGGAGGCAGCGCCCCCGGCGCCGCCATCTTGGACAAAAGGACTCGGCGCGGCGGTGGCAGCGGGGCGGGGCGGGAGCAGCGCCCAGGGGCCGGGCGTCGCGTTATCAGGCTGCGCCGGACTGTCACGTGACCCGGCGGCGGGCGGGGCGAGAGCTGCGCCGGCATACGTCATCGGACGGCGCCTCTCCGTGCCACGTGACCCCGGGTGGTCTTGAAAGTGAGCTCTGACGCCACCCCGCGGCCAAGGCTCTGGGCTACGCGGAAATCCATGGCCCTCCTGAGAGCCAGGCTGGCTTGCACTGACACTGACCCCCGTGGGCTGCGGGCCCTGGGTGTCCCACGACGCGTGGAGTAGGAGTGGCAGCGTCTGTGGGCGCCGGGCTCCCGGGTCTTAACCCAGTGGCTCTTTACGTGGCCTCCCCCAAATCCCCACCACGGCCGTCTCCCGACTAGGGTCCGGAATGGACAGGCGCGAGAACCTCCGTAGGCCCCGTCCAGGACCCACCGCCCACAGAACAGGCATCCTCAGCGTTCTGGTATCCTATGCAGTAGTCGCCGTAAAGGCCGCGAGGCCATGGGCTCTGAATGCACAAGGCCAGACCTGGCAGGCGAGCCAGCAAACCTGCCGTTTACCAAGTGGGAATAGGCTCCTTGGCGCCACTGGGCCCACCCTCTGCTGCAGCCACCTGAGCAGACAGTGGGCTCTAAGGACAGGGCCACGGAGCCATGGGTGAAGACAAAGCCAAATCCAGTAGTTACCACAGCTTGCCACGCTTACCTCTGGCTGACCAGTGCCCTTCTGTTCACCTCCAGGCGAGATGTGGGGCCAGTGGGGTGGGTGGAATTAATTCTGCCCAGGCGCCCAAGCCCCCTCAGGATGGCTTCATTCCCCCGAGAGCTGTTGGAAGCATTGCAGAACCTGATCCAACTTCAGCAAGGCAACTGTGGGGTGGGTTAAAGCCTACCAGCTCCTCCTCCTCCCACAACCATAAACAAACCACTCCTGGAACAGCTGAGGCAGGTACAAGGGGGAAAGCTTACACGAAAACACCTGTAACATTGCCAGAACTGACCTACACTTCCAGAAGGGACGAGTTAACCCTTTCATAGATAACCTCGGGGGTCAGCCCTACAGTGGGAGCGGTTGTTTTCCCTGTTCTTGTGTTCAGTGTGGCCTATAGGCCATGGCCATCCATCTCCTAAGGCTTCTGCCTTTAGCTGTGGATTTTCCCAGTGCCTGTAAGGGGCTCAGGACACTGCGCTTGTCAGATCCTAACAGCTCATTCTCCAAAACAAGGAAGTCTTGGCCTGAGAAGTGGCTCAGCCTTGCTTTCCTCTTAGACGTGGTGTTGCAGATGTGCAAAATGTGGGGCCACTGCAGTAGTGGATGCCACTGCAGGCTGTGACAAGGCCTGTGTAGGCAAACTGAATTTAGCAACTGTATAAATAAACTGCAAAAAAGGAAGACTGAAGTCTTTCTTGGAAAACCACTACTGGTCTTTCCCTTCAGGTGGTCTCTGCAGGCCCGAGAAGTAGAGGGGTGTCCACCAAGCCACAGCTTACACTGACAACTGGGTTCCCCAAGAGCCAACCCCAGAAGTAACTAAAAAAACCAGACTCTGGAGACACTGGGGACAAGACCTCAACTATTTTAGACTTATCTTGGGTAAACAAAGGCAAAAGGCAAGCTCTCACTGACTCTTTGTATAAACCGACCCCTGCATATCTCACAAAACCCCAATTAGGCATCAGAGGCTTGGGACTGACCCCACACCACAAACTCAGATGACCAAGTAGATGGCCAGATCTGGATGGTGCGTGGTGGAGGAAGCCAGCCCAAGAGCATCTTTAGAAATGTGATGGTACTGAACACAGGCAGCTACTGAAGTCATCATTCCAGAAAACCATACTAAACATACCCTCAGTCCTGCTCGGACCCAGCCCTGATATAAGCCCCTCCCTTGCACACCAGATTCAACCCCCTGTGCTCTGCCAAGAGGCTGTTCGGCCTCCAGCTCCCCAGGTGGGACTTCCACTCCAAGTCACCTCGGGGTGAGGCATGGGACCCAGTCTTCTCCCGGGCTTGCCTCCAGTCCTGCACGAACCCCCATGCCTCAGCCCGTGTCCTGCCTGGCATCTCCGGCACTGGCGGCCAAGGGGCAGATGTGAAGATAGCAGACAACTCTTGTGAACTGGAAAGCATAAACTGCTGGGATCTTCGTTAGGGCTGAAATCCTATTTCAGATTCACTTTAATTCTCCAGGGACAGCTAGAAATGTTCTTCCTTTAATAAAAAATTCCCAAACACACTTTGAAGTCCTAGAGTAAACCAGCAACAGAACAAAGTGAACCCCCCAGGGGGCGCTGTAGAGCCAGCATCGGCAGGAGAGCTCCAGGCTTCACACCTGACATTGTCAGGAGCCTGCCTAAAAAATAAATTACAAAAAGGCTGCAGGGAAGATGCAAGTGGAATGCTTTCCCCACAGGTGCAGCGGGGGGCGGGCAGACTACAAATCAGTCCGTGAACCGGCTGCCTTGGGGGCATATTTAGGCATCAGTTCATTAATCTTCCGGATGTAGTCAGACTTCTCCGCACAGCCTTTGCACGTCTCCCCCCAGTCGTCCAGGATCTTCTTGAGTTCTTTAACCCGGAGCTTCTTCAGGTCCACTGTGCTCAGGTCAATCTGCTTGTCTGGAGGAGAGAGTAGGGAGAGCTCGTGGGAGCGGCCACGGACCCTCATAGTCCTGGGATGGGTCACCCCAGCACAGCCTCCCATCCGCTAAAACAAGCAGTCCTACTGGTCTGAGAGGGACAGACGTTTCCAGACACCTGCAGGTGTGTGTCTGTGCCCACTGCCCTGAACTGGCGGAACTGGCCTGGGCCCTTTGACCGGAAGGCTGGTCTCACGCTGGCAGCATCCACCCAGACATGCAGTATTGCCAAGGACAGGTATGGGGGCTACATGGTTCTTACAGGAGGAACTTTACAGGAGAAATGTGGTTCCCAATCCAAGTGCCTTGAAAAATAGTCACGGTAGAGATCAAGTCACTGTAGAATGACAGCTCCACGGTGACAGAGCAGAGAGACCCCCTAGCTCCAATTTCCCAACACAGGCCCTGGTCAAGAGCTTACTCTCTCCACAACCACTTGTGACCACAGAGAGACCTTGAGCCAACAGCCTGTCAGGTCACGGTCAGGAGACTGGGCATCCTTGACACAAGTGGACAAACACAGGCCCTTGGGACACTCAAGTCACAGTAAAATATGCTGGTGCTGCTTAAACTTTACAGACGAGGACAACTATTCCTGGTCCTGTTTCTGAGGCCTGCTTTTCCCCACCAGTAATGTCGGCAAGAGAGATGCTGCAGCAGCTGGAACTCCTGGCCTGCCTGTCCGCACACAGCATTTCTCTTCAAAATGAGGAAGATTGCTGGGCCTTCAGAGCTTATGGCCAGGAAAGGTCAGGCCACATCCCTTCTCTGCTCAAAATCCCATGTTCCCAACTTGACTCAGATTAAAGATCTGAAGCCAAATCTTCACCAATCTGCAAGGCCCTCTGTGCCCTGTCTACCCGCCATGCCTCTGGCTGCCTCTGCACTGCCTGTTTGCTCAGCCTGGAATGTTCTTCCCTTAGCTGTTCCCCTTGGCTAATCCACCGCCTGCCTCCAAAGTATGTTGAATGTCACCTCCTCAGTGAGCCCTATTCAGACCTCCACCCATAAGGCCAGATCCACCCTGCCCCTCACTTAGCACAGTCTACCCGGCTATAAAACTCACGAGGCTCTCGTTTCTCACCTGCCTCTCCCAGCTACAAAGTTGACTCCTAATGCCTGAGCTCAGAGGGTCCGTGTTTGTTAAATAAGGTTTAGCCACACTCACCATACTTTAGCTCACAGATCTGGCTGTCCTTCTTTTTGAGCTTCTCACAGACCTTCTCCACAGGGATGTGGTGGGCCAGGGGCTTCGACACCTCGTTGATGATCTTAGTGGCAGCGTCATCTGTGGCCCCAATGTAGTAGCACTGCAGCAAGAAAGGACAATGACCTTCAGGAGGTTTCCCTTGAAAGCCTTCTCCTCCACAACACACTGATATCTCTAAACATCTCTTTGCCAGGACCCCCTTTCCCCATGCCCTCTCTGTACCAGCGGTCAGATTCAGTCAGCGTAAACCCTGGGCTCTTAATACATGCTCAGTCCCAGAGCTGACAACCTCCAAATAAGTTTAAGAGTCGCCAGGATTCAGACCTTTAAAAAAAAAGACACACAGGGGCGCCTGGGTGGCTCAGTCGGTTAAGCGTCTGACTTCGGCTCAGGTCAAGGTCTCACAGTTTGTGAGTTCGAGCCGCGCATCTGGCTCTGTGCTGACAGCTTAGAGCCTGGGGCCTGCTTCCAATTCTGTGTCTCCCTCTCTCTCTGCTCCTCCCCCGTTCATGCTCTCTCATTCAAAAATAAATAAAAACATTTAAAAAATTAAAAAATAAATAAATAAAAATAAAAAAAGATAAACCAGCGATTGCCAGGGAAATTAAAGCTACAAAAATCATCATTTCATTAGGGCTCTTGTCCCAATTCAGCACTGGCATACCCTGTGCCCACTTTGTTATCTTGTGTCCTTGCACGTGGCCTCTGAACACTCACATGGTTGTTCCCTCTTCCTGGGATGCTCTTCCCTCCTGCCTTGCAATGACAACTCTTCCTCAGAGAGATTCTTGACTATTTTGCCTAAATCAGCATCTCCCCTCTCTGCCAGAGCACCGTGGTCTATTTTCTGCTGGACACTCATCCCACTGCTGTCATTTGTTTGCCTGTCATTTCTCCCCACTGATACTCCCAGTGCCCAGCACCCAGTACGTGCTCATTCAATACTAACAGGGTAACAAAACCTCACAACTGCAGAATTCATGAAAACACTGGAGACTGGAGTCCCACACTAGCATACTAACAGAACAGTTAACCTCCTGAACAGGCAAGTGGGCAGGGCCAGCCAGGGAGGGTAACCAGCTACTCACCAACCGATTCTCTTTGCCTCTTGCTTCCCGGCAGAATTTTATAAGCTCTTTTTCAACAGAGGATGGTGAGAATGTGACATCTCGATCTTTGAGGTCCTGATAAAATCTTCCCAGATAAGAGATACAGACTGGAAAAGAGAGGGAAGGGAGATGCTCAGCAATCACCAAGGTGCACCCCAATCCACCAGGAGGGAACTCCGTCATCAATTTAAATAGCAGACAAGGTGAGAGATGAGTTTTTCCATCACCGGGTTTTCTCAGGTGCCCACGGGTGGGCAGAACCCACCTCCGGGGTTGCTGGGGTCCCTTGGTACACCTAGGGCACATGGGGAACGAGCATCACCCAGTGACCCACACATGGCTCCTCCCTGCTCCTTCCATAAAGTTTAAGCCGAGATTGAACACGTGTCCTTGGGATGGACTCACTGTGACCTCAGAAGAGGCCAAACCGGAGGGCGAAGACAAAAACAATCCAAATGCTTCTCATTTCCAAATACAACATCGAACCCGAGGTGCGGCTTCGCAGGCCCACCGGCCCCAGAATGGTGCCCATGGCCGGCCCTGGGGACTCCCGACCTGGGCCAGGGAGAGCCTCTGCCCCGTGATGGGAAAGGAAAGAAACTCCGGCGTTATCTCAATTTCAAGCCAAGTTTTCTGCACGATCTAGTCCCAACTTTTTCTTGTTGGACCAGTTTCCTAGGCCCAGGAACTGTTTTCTAGGCCGGCGTCCGCCCCTCTTCGGGCGGACCCCGCTGGGACGGCCGCCGCCCCCGCCCGTTCCAGCCCCGGCCTCTCGGCCGTTCCGTGGTCTGGGTGGGTTCAGAGCCGCCGCCAGGCCGGCCTCGGTGCGCGGACCCCGGCCCCGCCGCACCTTCGCAGTCGCCTGGCCGCAGAGCCCGGCCGCCCGGCAACACGCTCAGAGCCAGCGCCACCGCCAGCCCCTGCGTGGCCCACATCCTCCTCCTCCTCCTCCTCCTCCACCACCGCCGCCGCCGCCGCCGCTGCCGGACTGAACCGCGCCCGCCGTGAGGAGTTGCCTCCGGGTCCCGGCCGCGCGCCGTAGTTCCCCATTGGCGGGCGGACCCCGCGCCCTCCCACACGCCGCGCTCTCATTGGTCCACGCGCCCGGGAGCCCAGACGGGCCGCTCCACGCTGCCCTTTCTTATTGGCTGGTAGCTTCGCCCGCCCTTGGCCCTAGACAGTTGTCGGCCGCTGATTGAACCAGGGGGGCCGGCAGGAAGCGGCCGCGAAGGCGGCGGAAGGGGTCCGGGCCGCCATCTTGAGTAGGGGCAGCAGCTGTGACAGAGGCGGGGCGCCGCTGACTGGCGCAGAGGACTGGTGTGCGGTTCGGCTTCAGCTTTGCGCCAGACTTGTCCCGAGTAGTCCCTGCTCTGGGACCCACGTCTGCCCGAAAAACCCCTCCCCGCCCCGGGGCCCCAAGGGCAGGCAGGGAGAGCAGACCGCTGCAGGCCAGGTTTCGGGGAGGTTCTTTCTTTTTTCAAACGATACCGTGGGCGGAGGATCCAGGCTTCGGGAACGTCTGCGGGAGCTCTTGCGCCCGCGAGGCTTGCCGACCGGGTCTGAATGTCCGCATCAGGCCGGAACCCGTCCTGTAGGAGCTAACTGGACGCCGGCCGGGGTGGACAGAAGCTGGGCTGGAGGATTTCTCATTGGAAGGGCCCCCTCCGAGCGGCCGTCCTAGGCCTCGGGGAGCGCCTGGCCTCCTTAGGTGCTGTGGCTGTACGATCCGAGCCGGCCCGCCTCAGCGGGGAGCTAAAGGACTGGCCCGCCGCCTCCGGCTTTCCCACCGAGCCTCAGGATCTCTGGCTGCCGGGGGCGCCTCCTGGGTGGGGGCCCGCGAGTCAGCCGACGAGCACTTGAGGGGGTTTCCTCTTTGGCTGCCCTCCCTTCCAAGTGCAGGGCTTGGCTGGCTGTCTGAAGGCAGGGCGTGGAAAAGGCTGGCTCCGTGCTCCGTGCAGAGGTTTCTATGGGGCTAAAGGGCTTGGAGCCCAGCGACAAGGGATGGAGAGGGGCACTTGGGCTGCTCCCATTCAGTGAATTCAGTGGGTCAGTATCAGGTATTCATCTTTAATTCACATCACAGCAGTCAAAGGAGTGGGGAAAGGGGGAGAATCAAGTGGCAGATATTTACATCTAAAATTCACATTACTTGTTGGATTTAGAACATGCTACCACAATATATACAGTAAAATACCTTTTGGGACACTAGTACAAATTGTTTTTCCTCTTAACTTTGCTTTCTGGTACAGGTATAAGATAATTTTTAAACCACTTTTTTAAACATAAATACACACACAAAAAAAAAATGGTTAGAAGTTTTCTTATTTTAAATAAGCACAGAATGCCAGAGGTTAAAAACACATTTATAGGGCTGAATACCAATTGGACATCACACTCTATACATTTTTTGCTCAAATTCCTGTACAAATACACAGCATTCAAATAGGTATTTACAAATAAGCTTGAAAGAATGAAAATCAGTATTTCACAATCTTTTCAGAGGATTCTCATTTCTGGCCTCCCACTTCCCCTCAGACTGGCCGTTCTCCAAAAAAAGGGATTTGGATTATGTCCTTTCATCCAGTTAGGGAAAATGGAAAGGGAAGACAAACCTAGCTTACCTTAAAAAGCAAGGCCAAACGAACCCACAGCCCACACTGCCCTCCCTACCCTCCTGTGCTACAAGGTGGAGAAGGTCGATGTTCTTATGTGATGACTGCCTTGTCCAGGGATTGAGGTTCAGAAGTGCCCTAAAATCTAAAGATGCCCTTCTACCTAAAATTCAAATCCAGAGCTAGCCCCCAACTCTCTAACACTTGTGAACACCACATACTCTACGCCTGCCCTCTGAGGTCAGGGTTGCCATGACTCACCCACTCTACCTAGAGCTATCCTTATAATTATCAGAAATGACCCACACTGGTGGGAGACACCCCCAGATGCCCTGAAGGTAATGTAGCCCTCCATCTACCCAATTGGTTACTTGCTGGCATTTCCTGTTCAATAAGCATTTGTTTATAAGAAAAGAACACCTTGGCTGGCCTTGTCTGTTTGGAAAGGTGGGCTGTGGGGGAAAGGATGGATGTCTAGGGCCCAGGGCCTGGCCAGAAGAGGAACTAGGGGAGAACACATCTGCTCAATAAGGAGAAGGCAGCCTTGTGACCATCAAAGTTGTGAACTTATGCAAATGAAAAAAAAATTTTGTAGACTTTTTTTTTAAGTAACTTAGAAGCACCCTGGTAAAATACTATTACCACCCCACCTTATCCCCCCCACCCCCAAATAATAAACCAAGAGAAAAATCCGTGCCCTGACCTGAAAAAGTTTCCTATAAAGATACCATTGCGCTCTGCCCAAAAGACTGGGAAGGCTGGAGAAACTGCCCTCCTGCCCACCCTGAACCCTGAGTGGTGGTCCCCGTGGGCTTGGAGGGAGGGGGGGGGGCGGTGAGCTACAGTTGGCCACTTGAGAGAGGATAATTCAACCTGTGTGGCTCTCTGCTTCCAAAGGAGGGGCTTCCTCCCACCCTCTTTACCTAGAAGCTTGCTGAACCTTACCACGAGTCCTCAGGGCTGGAAGCCTGGCTGGGCAGCCAGCCCCACTGCTCAGAGGTAGTGCTGAAAATCCCTGATTCAGGAACTGGATGACAGGCATTCTGGCCACTTCTGAAAGAGGATTTCTGGCCCCTGCCACACCCCAGCCTCGCTCTATACCAGCTTGTCTCTCAACACTTAGCCTCCTGGGCCATGGGGAAGAAGGTTGCTAGGGCCTCTGGCTCCACACCCCCACACAAGCGCCAGGGGGCAGAGAGTGGGAGATAACCTTTGCAGATCCATTCATCAAGGGGGCTCCTGCAGGGCATGAGGTGTATGGAGAATGTAAGGGAGCAAATGGTCAAATAAAAGCGATGGAAAACTCCAAGGTAGAGTGAGAGACAGGGCTGGCCCATGGAAGCTTGGCAGTGTGCCCTGGGCATGCAGTTAGGCCAGGTCACATGCCTGAGCTGGCAGGTTGGCTCAAGCAGCCCCTCAGTCTCGCACTCCTGGATGGAAGAGTGGGCAGGTGGGTAGGCATTTGTGCAAAACGGCTTGTAGCTCCCTTGTCCACCTGTGACATGTAGTCCACGTGGTCCTTGCGATCCCTGAATACAACCATGAGTTCTTCTGTCCACACAGCAACAGAAGAAGTCCCTAGTGCAATTTCCATTCTTCTGTGCATCTCTGCCCTGGAGGGAGGGCCTGGAGCTCCTACCCCTGGGCCCTGCAAAGCTGCAAAGCAATTCTCTCTGTGCAATATCTCCATATAGCTCCACGTGGTCTGGAACTGCAGGAGGAAGAAAGCATCTACTGCACAAAGGAAAGAAAGGAAAACCCATAGAATGGAAACGTAGAAAATGAAATAAAAAGAGAAGCCACAACCCTTCATGCTGCTGCGGCCTCTGTACATGGCAACACACAAGTTCACGGCAGTAGAACGTAGACTCGGGGTGGTTCTCTCCTGAGTGCCAGGCCTCTCTGGCTCCCTGGCGAGGGGACTTGCTTTTCAGACCTGGAGTGGATGGGCAAGCTGCTCACAGAGGGCGGCGTCCCAGCTGCCTCCTTGCCCCTCACTGTTCCCCTCGGCCATGTTCCCAGGCCATGCGGGCCTGCTCTTCCTTGGCGCTCCCTGGGGGCAGCGAGGCCTTGCGGTGCAGGCCCCGAGGCCGGTCAGCATCTTCACGTAGCAGCACGCCTTCATCGTGCTCCAGGGCTGGCAGGCGGGTGTGGTAGGGCTTGGGTGGCAGCGCAGGTGGGTCCATGGGGTCCTGAGGGATGACACACCCCGGTGCTGAGTGGCTTCGGCATGGCTGGGCCTTGATGGAGTCCAGAACGGCGGACTCAGAGAGGCTGTAGTGGACAGGGAGGTAGGGTGGCTCAAGATCTTCATCTGCATTCCAGGCCTGGCTCGGCATGGAGTCCATGGTGTCAGTTCGAGGTGGGACCTCTGAGGAGTGCCCAAAGTTACTCTCGCTCAGGGAGGACACGCCGCTGCTGGCACTGCCAGACAGTGTAGAGTTGCTGCCGTCCAGACCTGACTGGGGGCTTGTGGGGGAGGCTGGGATAGGGTGGAGAGGAGACTGCAAAGGAAAGGGTGGGCATATTAGAATCCCTTTCTCCAGACAGGTGGGCTGGCCCACTAGGTGAAGAGAGGACCAAGTACCCGCACATATTGGCTACACATTTGTTTCTTCAGCAGCTGCCTCCCAGCAAGCCAGTGGAACCCCAGAATCAGCTACATTTCTGTGGACAAAAATGGCCCCGGCCTGGCTGCTAGGCATTTATATCCCATGTGGCTCTGGGGTGCTGACAGAAGGGCTGGGTGGGCAGGCCAGTGCAGCGAGCAGGAAGAACCCCAGGGGACATGGGCCAGATGAATGCATTCTGTTGCTAAAATCTGTGACAGAGTCTGTCTTTTCCAACATGCAGAAAAGGAGTTTTCATAAGGCTTTGCTGCCTCCTGTTTCTTGCTTCTGACTGGCCTCTAGTGTAAAATGCTCTCTGATCTACCATGGAAATGTTTTTTCACTTCTTGAACTATAGTGCATCGATACCTAGTGGTGTCAGCAGGGAGCCCCCAAGCCCCTCACTGCCCCTTGCTGACGCATTCAGGGTACTCGTGTGTTGCTGTCCCCAGGACCCTCTGACCTCCCTGTCCCCATTGCATTGATTGCAGGACACATGGGTCATCTGCATCACAAGTGTGGCTCTGGCCACCCCCAGCTTCTGCCAGGCTGGTTGCTCTGGGACAGAGGAGCACGGAAGGGCTGTGGTTCTTTTTTGTAGACCCAGGAGATTCCAGAGCAGACAAGAAGATTCCTTTCACACTCTTGTGGGGTTGTTGCTTCAATACATTACCTTGCGCAGAGTCCGGGCAGGCAGGGCCGGGGGGGTGTCACCCAGGGGGTGGTGGAAGGCGTCAAAGTGTAGGGAGTAATGACCTGCAAAGGGAATAGAACAAGAGCCTTAGCTGGGGCTTTCTTGGGCTGTGTGCTGGCACATCTTCCAACTGCACAGCTGTGGGAAGAGTCTCCTGGGCACCCCTCAGCATTGAAGGTCACAGAAAAACCTCTTTTTTCACTGAAGTTCTCCAAAACAGGCTGCTGGAGTAAAAGGCACCTGTGCCACACAGAAGGTCAAGAAGGTCAAGTACGGCCGAGCCCATGGAACGGTGGGCCACAGGCAGTTGTAGCTCTCCGACAGGCTGGTGAGGAGCCGGCCAGCACAGTCTGTTCCATTGTCTTCAGCCCCCCTGGTTGGGAAGGCCTTCCTGAGCTCACCTGCTGTACTTGGAAACCTCACGACCCCAAAGCCCAACAGGCTTCTTCCTGTGGTGGGGATATTTCTTCCTTGGCTGAGTCAGCCCAGAGAACGGCCCATCTTCTTAGTCTCGAGGGCTGCTACCCTCGCCTCTGAGTCGAGTCTGAAACCAGGGGCTATCTGGGGGACCCGCTGGAGGTCTTCTTACCATGCAGCAGGCTTCGGGGAGGCACTGGGGGGGCCAGGATGCGCCCCATGTGGGCAGACAGGAAGGGCTGGGCCTCTCGGGCTCCGCTATCCAGGCTCCAGCTGCTGGGGGCTGCTGGCACTGCTGAAGGGTGGAAACAGATGGCATGAAGGGAGGTTACTTCTGAGCCATCCTCAGGGAGAAGCCCATCTTACAGCCTATGGCTTCTCCAGGTGTGCACTGTGTAGCCAGCACATGTGTGAGTGGCATGCCAGCCCCCCAAAAACACTGGCCACGTGAGACACTGTGGCCCATGGGGGAGAGTGACCAAGGACAGAAGCTGCTTAAGAGGATAGCAGCAGAGTGGACTGACGTCTGAAGAGTACTCAGGGTGAGGCAAGCTGAGAGACAGTGCAGCAAGGAGTGAATATCTGCAGCCTCCGGGATTTGTCAGAAGAGGACAGAGAACAGAAGTGAGCAGAGCAGAGTGGAACGGGCTGATGGGACAGAATGCAGACAGAATGCAGGCCACAGAGCTCCTCACCAGAGCCAAGTCAGGGCTCTCCAACTGCCCTGGCCTAACAGGAAAAGCAGGGAGCACAGGGGGCAGGAGGCACAGACTGCCCCATCCTAGAGCTAGTGCACAGCCAGGGTGTGGGCAGGAGTTGCCCCCCAAAAGGCCTCTGGTAACATACAAGCTGTTCCCACCCTACTGGTTCTCTGCCTACTGACTGGATTTGGGATGCACAAAGGGTTTTCAGGCAAGGACTGGTGTGCCTGCTGGAGGGAAGAGCATACAGCCCAAGAATTGTGGCTCAGGTCTGGTTCCACCTGTGGCTTCCCAAGAAAAGGGAGGGCTGTGGGAATGAGGGTGCTTTTAGTCTTGCAGAGAGGCCCAGTTCCTGGCATCCACATGCTATGGATGCAGGGTAGAGCGGGCCTTGGACAAAGGGAAACAGAGTTTCCATCTATGCCAAGGAAGGAGGCCAGCGCCAGAATACTGGTCCGTTCACACCTCTCCCCCAGCCACAGCTGAGGTGAGCAACTTTGCAGGAGAGGAGAGGAAAGGAATAATGGCTGGATCTTGGGCTAGAAGGTGCCACTCTGCAGAAACAGCAGGGGACATATAAATACTGTTGGCCAACTCCTCCTGGAGACCAAATACCACTGACAAGAAATGTGTCTTTTCTCTAATGGAGCTAGGCAAACATAATCTCCCTTTTGGGCTATCAGCAGCAGGGAAGCAGCTCATAATTCAGAGACCTAGCCCCTAGCTTTGTTCTGAGGCAGTTATAACTCAAGTGTGCCCGAAGAGGCTGGGGTTTGTGCTCTTCCAGCGCCAGGTACTGAGCGGGAAATGCTAGCGCCTAAAGGAATAGAGAGGTTCTGGAAAGGAAGGAGCTGGGGTCTAGCCTTCAAGGAGGATGTGGCCAGGAGGGGCTGGGCCCATGTGGTCCAGGGATAAGATAGTTATGCCCTTCTCCTTCCTTCCCATTAGTGAGGAACTCAAGGGCTTGCAGTAGAACACAAGGTAGAACTCTACTACCTGAACAGCCTCAGTTCTAAGGACTGCTCAGTCTCATGGGATGGCTGATGGCAGGTGGCTGGTGGGAGGGCGTGGCAGTGATTGGGTGGGCAGGCACTCAGCTGTTGCCTAAAGGGAGGAAAGAATTCTGAATCTGATGAGCACCAGGTGGATTCCACCAGAAGGCCTCCTTGGAGAGCCTGAGGCAACCGAAGAACAAGATAGGCCCATTCTCACACAGACTCTCCTCAAGATGGGGCCTGAGCTTCTGGGTCCTCATCACTGAAACTTGCTCTCTCCAAAGAGAAAAGTTCTAAAAAAAAAAAAAAAAAAAAAAAAAAAAAAAAAAAAAAAAGCCCCCGAATTTCAGGAATTAAGAAGCTTGGAGGTGGGTCTGGGCAGCTTCCCCAAAGGGGTCCTGACAGCCCAAGCTCTCACTGCAGGGCCACAGATATTCACCCACAAGAACCCACAGGAACTTGTGGGCAGTGAGGTTATGGGGCAAAAAAGCTGGCAGGCTGCAGGGCTTTTCAAAGGGTGCCTGCCTGAGCCATTCCAGTGATCCAGAACCATCTAGTTCACCCTATAGACTGATGTTGGTGAGCAATGAGGCCCATGGACCTCTGCCATGTGATACAAATGCACTGGGGCTAGTGGAAAGTCTAAGATGGAGTGACTTATCCTGGGAGAAGGGGGCAATCCCTACTGTGGCCTGGCCATTTCTTGCTCTGTCTCTGTGAATGGAGGTCCAACACTGGCCTGAGAGTCACTGCCTGGCAAAGAGAGATGACAAGTGAGAAGCAGAGTCCTTGTGGGACTCAGGATCCTGATGACAAGAGAATGGTGATAAGTATGTATAGCTTCTGCCCTGGAGGATCCAGGAAGAGACTTAGGGAGCCACTACTCTGGCCTGTGTGTTCCCACTAGGCAAATGTCTTATTTGCTGCCCACAAAACACTGGCACTGTGGCACGGACATGCTTGCTGTGGCCTCAGCCTCTTTCCTTCCCACACTTGGGGATGGGCATGTCCAGCTTCTTGCTGCAGCCTGGTCTGAGGCCTGGTGTTCTTCTTTGTCCGGTTGGCATAGGGTCCTGGTCTGGCCACCAGCACCCACTTGAGCTCTGAGCTCTTCTGTGCTCTTGGCTAGTTTTCAGATGGCCCCACATCTCAGGTGAAGAAAAGATACTGTGGATTTTGGCCCCTGAGGCCAAAATGGCACTCTATTTTGTGGGAATAGGTGCAAGGTCCAGGTAAGCCGCATGTTTTTGGGATGTGCAGGCTTGAGGCTAGGAAGTCATCTTCGGCGGGAATCTCCATATCCTTTGTGGTTGAGCACCTGGTACCTATGCCTACCAGCCACTGAGGTTGTGGACCCAGTGTCTGGTCTCCTTAAAGAAGACACAGAGGCATGTCCTCTGTGGTGAGCAAGGGAGGAACAATGACAGTGGGGACAGTAGACAGCACTTGGTGAGGAGGTGCAATGACAACATGATGACAGCTTTGGAGGTACAGGTTCTGATGGAATAGCAACTTGTATTCCTGGGGACTGAATTTGCCCTAAGCTCCACCAGATGAAGGAGAGGGAGGAGAAACTACAGGGAGAGGGGCTGATATGGGGCCAGGTTCTGGGTGGCAGGTGGTCTAGCATAATCCTCATATAGGTATTGCTTTGTGTTAAAATTAAGTCAGATCTCCATGTGTGAGGCTTTGGGCCAGGGTCATGTAGGGTCCAAGTCTGGTTCTTCCATTAGCTTGTTGCAGCGGGACACAGGGTAAAACTCCACTATCCAAACATCCCCTGTTCTTTTAAATTTTTTTTTTCAACGTTTATTTATTTTTTTGGGACGGAGAGAGACAGAGCATGAACGGGGGAGGGGCAGAGAGAGAGCGAGACACAGAATCGGAAACAGGCTCCAGGCTCTGAGCCATCAGCCCAGAGCCTGACGCGGGGCTCGAACTCCCGGACCGCGAGATCATGACCTGGCTGAAGTCGGAGGCTTAACCGACTGCGCCACCCAGGCGCCCCTAAACATCCCCTGTTCTAAGGACTGCCCGGGTTCATGCCCAAGTTGATGGGCTTGCAATCCCTGCTAATAAGATAGACTCATAGCAGCTGACCACTTGCTGGCCAGAGTGGCTGCAGGAGGACTCAACTCAGAGTACCTAGGGCTTCCTTGGAGAGGACTGTCTCTGGGAAATTCACTTTGCCATGGTCTGTCCTTCCCATTCTTCTAGGAGCTTGCTCAGCCACAGGCCTATTCTGAGCAATAAGGAGAGGTCCCTGAGGGCCCAAGTTGAGAGTGACCAAAGGGGCCATCAGGTCTGCCGAATCCTGGAGCTGGTTGGGAGAAGCCCAACTGTCTGAACACAGCAGCCTGAGTTTCCATAAAGGTGGGCTCAGGGCAGGTAGCAGCTGGGGCCTCTCTGAAGGTGGGCCCTTGGGAGAGAGATACATAAACTAACAGGATCCAAACTTAGCATCAAACCGGACATGGGTTAAACAGTGAGCACAGGAGTTGGTCAGGACTCTGGACACACAGACAGGCCTGGGTGTTGGAGTGTGGCACAGCCTTGGCCAGTTGGTGCTCAGGGACAAGAGTCAGACACTCAGGATGGGGACAGACATGGGGGAAGGCCACCTGGAAAGGGGAACAATACCTTTTTCAGCCACAGACAGATTGGGATCACTGCAGGGTTTGCAGGATCCGACCACTTGCTGGAACAGGGCCCGCTGGAAATTTGGCAGCTGAGGGGGGAGAAAAATATCAAAGATGGTGAAAACAACCAGGTACACCTCAGGAGGCAGAGCTATGGGCCCAGGAGCCAGATCATATTAAGAGAAGACAGGGAAATCAAAGCAGTGGTACCGATCATGCTCAGCCATAGGAAGACTGTCCCTCGCTATCTGGCTCTGAGTGCTGCCATGTCAACATTGGAGGCACCTCCCTACAATGCCTGGCTGGGCTCCAAGCTGTCTTGTACATGGCCAAGAAAAAGGACATAGGCACCTGAGGGTATCTAACTGTATCCCTCTGTCCTGACAGGGAGACCCATTGGCAGAAAGGACTGAGGCACCCCTCTACCCCTCAGCACTGGCAGGCTTGGCCTCCTGGAGATCCTTGCACAAGCCCAAGTTAGCAATGTGGATAAGGCAAAGGGCAGCACTCAAGCCTAGAAAGTCACGGACAGGACTCACTGTTCTGATGGGCAGCTGCCAAGCAGGCCTGCTCCCTCTACCTGGCAGGGCTGATCAGGCACAAGGAAGTACAGCTGAGGTAACAGTTGCTTGGAGGTGATTTTCATGGACTCTGATAGAAGGGCAGGCAGATTGGGCACAGGAAGGAGTTAATCCCCACATCTCTTTGTTCAAGGCCCCCAGGTAGGACATCCGGAGAGCTGTGCAAATGGTGGAGAGAGTAGCCTCAAGAGGCAATGAGGGGCTTCAGATAGATGGATGGATGAAAGAGGCAGAGTCTGTCTCAGTGAGGATGCCCTTCACACACACAGGGAGGAAGACCATCCTCCAGACCCGTGTCTACCACTGCCTTCTCAGGATAAGAAAGAATGAGGTTCCTCTGCTAGACTGTTTATGGATAAGGAGTCCAGGAAGCTGTACAAGCAATGGGTTGGCAAGAAGGACAGCCACACAAGCAACTGTGGCTCTAACCCGCCAGCATTCTTCCTACAGGTCCACTCCATCTGGATTGCTGATCCTCAGAGCCACTGCAGTCCTGTCCAGAGTGGGCACCCAACAGCCTTCTGAGGGTCTTATGGCAGAATGAAGGAGGCACACAGGGCAATATAGAAAGCCTAGCAGATGCAATGAGGGCAGCCCAGGCCGCCATACTTGCACCACAGGGCAGTCTGGGTCCACTACCTGTCCGTTCTCCAGGATGGCTGCTGGATACATGGCACTGCTTGGGCGGTCCCGGTGTGTGGGCAGCAGCAACATCATTTCCCGGGCGTGGCGGTACTTATCTGGCAGAGAGGGAGAGCCTGTAACCAAGTGAGAACAATCACGCACAGATGACAAGCCACAGATGGAAGGCCCAGCGGGCAAGCATCCTTGGGGCCAGGGAACCAGGGTAGGTGTCCCCTTGCAGCTGGGGTGAGGATGAGCTCAGCAAGCACAGGAGGAATGAAGCAGAGCCCGCTGGTGAGATGGTGGTGGGGCCGCACCTGACATCCCAGCTGAGGTGGGCATACTGCAGACTGGGGCAATGCAGGCCCACTGATAGAGCCCCCTCATGATGCTTGGAGGCAGATCATGAGAACCGAGGACAGGAGCTGGGCCCCAAAGGGCCCCCTGCACCCAGCGCTCTTGGGATATGGGGTGACCTGGATGCTGGGCTCTTTCAGGGGGCCCAGGCATGGGCACAGGCCAGCTTGCAATGGAGCCATCACACAGAGACAGAGACACTGAGATAACATAGTGGCATGGTTCTTACTTGACGCATTGTGTCTCCCCACACTTACCGTTTCCAGATACCAACTGGCTCTGTTCTCAGCTGACCCCCTACCACCTTTGCCCAAAGGCTTCTCCTTCCCATATTCGAGGCCTCCAGAGCCTGGCCTCTGCTTTCCTTGCTGTCCTACCATAGCTCCAGAGCCAGGCTGGCTAGGGGCCCAGGGCCCTACACACAGGTGGCTCTCCAGAGTTTCTCTCTCTGAGACTTGCCCTTCAGTGAACTTGGGGGTCATATGGGAGCTAGTCTGGGAGTTGTGGGGCTTTAAGCCAGGCTCTTGAGTTGACTTGGTTCCTGCTCGTCTTTTGTGAGGCTTCTGTGGTGATATCCTCTGGCCTGAGGGGCTATTACAGAGGCCAGACCTCAGCAGATGTGGTGGTCCAGTCCCCATCAATGCAGGCCATAGCTATAGGTCTTCAGGAACCTGTCAGCCTATGGTTCTTGAGGGTACCTTCCACAGAAATAGAGAGAACAGCTTTCTGACTTTCTTTGGGAATGGATCATTTGGAAGGCCCTCCAGACGTGCACCACTCGTTCCAGACACCAGCATGTCCATGAGAAACTAGCCCATGGGCAGCCTCTGGCTGGCTCAAGTGGTTGAAACCCCTCTGTGGCGTGCTGTTAGTGAAGCTAGAGAGTCCAAGGGCTCCATCTGAGAAGTGAACCTGCAGCTCTGGAGGCTCTGTGTCCTTGAAACCCAGGGTCCCTGGGGCCTTCCTTTGACTATGCCATGAAGGCACTGTCAGAGCACAACTAAAATAGGTTTCTGCAGTCAGCTTCCCCAGGAAGCTGCGACATTCCTCTTGCACTCATTTTAGACCAAGAAGATGAGCCTTAAATATCTTGAAGAAGTCCGTATAATAAAAATCAGTAATGGCTGTTTAGAGAAAAATGGAAAAGAGTTCTTAATTGCAATGATTTCTATAGTGCCTTCGCAGCAAGAAACTGAATGCTCCCTGAGCCCTGCCAGCCACAGCTCTGGACAGGACCCTTTTACTTACTTAGTGTGCACAGAAAGAGACATGCACCTTTACACCAATCCAGTTACATCAAACTCCAACCTAACACCCATTCCACACCAGGCACGTGGTTGGAACATGGCACACTGCCTAACTCAGGCTGGCCATGGTCCCTGACCTCACAGAACTCACAGCCTGGCCCACCAGGCCAACCCCACATCTGCATACTCCATGTGCTGATACATGTCAGGGGTGCTAGGATGGAGGGACAGTAGCCTGCAGGCCCCAGATGCTGTGCTGAGGATTTGAATCCATGTGATGGAGGCCCCTCTTGTGCTATAACAGAGAGGTGCTTTGTGCTACTGCCAAGTTTTCCAATTCTGCCACTTCACTTTTCTCTCACTGCCCTCAGCCCTGGGCAGCCAATCCCATGGTAGCAGAGAATGACGGTTACTTTTCATTAAAACATTTAAATACCACAAGGGCTTTGGTGTCACAGGACTTTTGAATTGCTTGAGTTGTAGTCTGGTAAACCCAAGGGAGGCTATGTCTCAGCATGACTGAGGTATTCAAGGAGGATCAATCAGAATCTCCAGGTTTCCTAGCTCCACTCAGTCTTTTGACCATTAGGGGGAGCTGCCTACTTATAGGAGTATAGACTGTGCCTTGCAGGCCTTCTGGAAGATTTCAACAGGGACCACAGCAGAGAGTGTCAATGGGCTTGGTGAGGAAGGCCACTGGTGTCATGACCACTCTTGGGTGTGGGGGAGGGGACTCCAATGCAAAGGACTCTCCAGAACACCTTCTCCATAAAAGCCTTCCCTTTACCCATAACAACCAGAAAAAAGAGCAGACTTCTCCCTTCCCTCCATGCCCCCAGTGCATCTCCTACTGCATCTACCACATCTATCTGAAAAAGCAGTCTTCCTCTGTGATTCCAGATCTCTCTCCATCTTCTCTCACAGGGCCTACTGCTGGTATGCTACATACTGGCCTATGGTTTTCTCCAGATAGGCCTGCACATGGATTGCATGGATGGTGTAGCCTAGAAGTGAATTCCTGCTCCTTCTTAGCTGCCTCTGCACTCATCACCATTCCCAGCTTTGGGAATGTTTACTTTTGTACTTAATGTCTACTCCAGAAAGGGAAGGGGCTTCTGTCAGCCTTTCTCTATATGCTATCCTGGAGTTTGGCCCCTGTGATAGCTTGTCTCCAGAGATGGCAACCACCAATGCCCTCCCTTCAAAAACACACATGCCACTCTTCACATCATGAGGTGCAGTCTCATTCCCCACCTTGGTCTCTAGGTTGGCCTTAGTGACTTGACTAGTTGACAGAATGTGGCAAAAGGACCATTATGGGTTTCCAAGGCTGGGTAATAAGAAGCCTTGCAACTTCTGCCTGGGTACCTTAGAATGCCTGTTCTGAGAAAAATCAGCTGCATGCTGTGAGAAGCCCGAGGTACAAGTAAAGACCCTCCAAAGCGACTCTGGTGGACAGTCCCACCTGAGCTGCCAGCTGCCATCTTGGATATGCAGCCTAGCTGAACCTTTAGATGATTCCAGCCTCAGGTGACATCTGACTGCAAGCTCATGAGAGACTGCAAGCCTGGAAGCAATAGCCAGTGACCGCCTGGTGAGCTCAGACCACTCCTTTCTGTTGCCATCCTGCACAGCCACCCTGAGAAGCACTAGATCCTAGTCACTATACCTGATTGCCATCCCACTGCAAATGCTTCTGTCTAAAAGGGTGGAGAATCAAATTTCACTGAGAACTAGGATCAGATTGTGAAAAAGATGTTGGCTCAGAAAACAATATTGAGCCAATGAATAAGAAATCAGGCAATAACTGGCAAAGTAAATAGCTTTTCACAGAGCCATCTCTCCTGATTACGCCTTTCTTAGCTGACAAGGTCTTTTTGGTTGCTGTTCTTTTTTAGAATAATATTTTCCAGGGTTAAGTTTAGCCTTCAAATTTAATTTTCATACTGTGCATTCATCCTCAGTTCCTCAAGATAAGACTCATTGTTGCCTTAACTTTGATTTTTATTCTTGCAAATGTTTCAATGGAAAAGAACTGAGCTTTCTCCTGGGCCACATGTCCTCTTACTGAGGTGGAGATGCAACAGCCAGCCACCTCTGTGGTAGCGTAGCTATAACCGCTACTCAGGGCAGGGTCTGAAGCCAGACAGAGAGACTGCTGAGCTGGGAACCCTTGAGTCCTTAGTGCTAAAAGGGGAACATTCTCTAAGTCACAGGGCCGCTTTCAAAGACAGAGCCACAGATGAGAGGAGGACAAGTGGGGCTCATGAGGCCCTCTCCTCCCTTCTGCAAGCAGCGCCCTGCCCTCCTTACCTCGGGCACTGGAAGGGGCAGAGGTAATCATCTGGGATGGTGCTGAGTGAGTGGAACTCAGGCTGGAGGAAGAAGGGCTTGCCTGGGACGAGGACAGAACAGAGACGTTGGTGATTGAGCCCTGGTACCTGGGGTTGGGATACGCGAGCTGCAAAGGGAGAAAAATCAGCAGGATAGAGGTCTGAATGGCCAGGATTGTAGGACTGGCCCAGAGTTGGCTTCTTCATGCCATGAGGTGCCCAGACCCAGTGTCTGATGAGGTACCCTGGGTCCTGATGGGGGCCAGGATGGTGGCTGGCACTACAGGTCACCCTCACCACCCATGGAGCAGGGCTGTTGGGTCGATTCTAATGGTGGTGCCCATATAGGATGCAGGACTTAGCCATCAGAAATGCCAGGAAGGAAGGCAATTTGGCAGATGATCTTTCCCATGGGATCTCTAAGAGCAATCATGACTGAAGCTAGATTTCCTTCTTGGAAAGTAATGCCTGGGAACTTTATTGACATGGGATGGAGTGGAGGGAAGGCAGTTTTACTGGCTCTGGGTATTCTGATTTCAGAAACTAGAGAACTAGGCAGGGGTATGAGCCCTCAGACCAAATCAGCCAGCAGAGAGGCGAGTCCTCCAGGTACGGTGCTCTCGCCCACACTCCTTGGACAGCTCTGGTACCTGCATATGGTGGTATAGATCCTCGGGAGCCTCGCCCATGGAGCTGTCACCCAGAACCACCACGTTTCCTGCTTCGCTAGATGCATGTGAGGAGAGAGAGGATGACGAATGGCGACCTGTGCCCATCAAGTTCATGGGGCTGTGAACAAGAGTGGGAGATAGGGAGGAGTCAGGCGGGGAGCTCAGAAACCTTGCTAGGTGGTAGGGGGACAGTGTAAGGGTGTGTGTGAAACAGTCACCCCTAGCCTCAGATGACACTAGTTTAGAGGGTTTCAGAGTTAATGCTTATACCCATTTGAGGCCTGGGGCAGTCCTGAATCCCTGCCTGCTGCTCAGGGGCCCCTGTTCTGGCAGGGCCAATGGGTAGGCTGGCAAAGTCTCTATTTGGAGTTAAATGGTTTTTGGCCACTCCATCTGATTATATAAATAGTTTTTCAGTTAGGAGGTGCAGTGATATGCTCAATCAGGTCAAGGATTCCAGGTCCCCTTCCTATGCGATGTTACTCTGAGCCAGTAGCCACCCCCTGCTGGGATTTGCTCCTAGGCTCCTAGGCCAGGGGTATCTTCCTGGTATGAGGAAGCTGTCAAAATAGCTGGCTCGGAACCATCTGTTGACTTCCTTCCACATCTGTGGTCACAGGCTCATCAATACCCTCCTCTATCAATAGTAGGCAGTCCTTTTCATTCATTCCTTCTTATTTATAGAGGCCCACTCGGTGCTAACTTACTACTTACATTGGAAAACAAACCCAAGTAAGGGGCTTCTCTCCCTGGCTCCTCCTCTGATCTGGCCTTCCTGCCCTGGAGGCTTGGAGTATCTTCAGTTGAGTCCAGACAGACCAGGACTCCTGAGTTCAGAGTAGGGACACCTTGATGTGCTTCCACATCATCATGTCGTTCTCTCCCTTAAACTGACTGGTGATCCTCATTCCCCTTGGGATCAAGTCCAAAGGCCTGAATGAACATGGCCCATTTAGAGCTGGAACTGGCCCTCTTCCATGCCCTGGAATCCTGCACTCCAGCCACAAGACTCTGCTGGTAGGGCTGACCAGGCTGGCTTGTTCACATCTTGAGATGCCTGCATACGTTAGTCTCTTTGCCTGGATCTTGTTCTATCACCCTCCTAACCCCATCCCATTTCTGCCTCACAAACTTCTACTTATCCTTCAAGACCTACCCCAAATGCCCCCTCCTCTATGTTCTCACAGTACCATGTACACTTCTCTCTCTCCCAGGATGACTGGATGTGACCATGGGTCTTATGGCAGGAGCTGTGTGTTTGATGTATGCATGGGTCAGAGGGTATGTGAGTGAATACACACACCTACTATTTCAGGCTTTCTTGCTCTGACCTTTGACATCCAGACTTACCTCCATGGAGGGGACCCTCCCCAGCTCTAAGGCCGTACCTGTGCCGGTGGGTCATCTTGATGCTCTCAGGGCTCATGGGACTATGGGATGCTAGGACATTTCCCCGTGGGGTGCTGGTGCCTGAACATGCAGGACTTAGCTTGTCCAAACCCGGAAACTCCTGTTGAGAAATGAATGTCCCTTCATCAGAGTAAACAATGAATAAGTAATTAAGGGGTGAGAGGGAAGGGCTGGCTAGTGGTAAAAATGTAAAAGAAGAATGTAAAAAGAAAAAGAATCAGATACTTTTGGCAGAACCTGAATTGCTGACTTCTTTTGGGCAATGGCCCCTTCATGACTAAAACATTCTCCTGACTGCACTGGAGTCTAGACCAGAGGCTGAGAGGCCTTGGGTTGACCCTACTAAGAGAACACATCTGGAAAAGGCTGAAGTTGCTCTGAGTTCACAGGAGTGTGTTAAGAGGCATTCTTGGTATAGAATAAGTGGACTAAGAGCTGAGAAGCAGGAGAAGAGGAGTTGATTAACAGCTGCCAGTCAGTTTACATAAGGACTGGGGTTGGGTTTACTGGACTGCTAAATGGCCCAACTCTCAGTGTCCTGGGTTAAGTTGCCTGTGACACAGTTTATGGGGACAAACGATGTAGAATCCTGATGTGGGCCCTAAGTCCTACTGGGGATATTTCTGAGCTTGGCCTAAAGAAGCAGCAGGTTTTCCATGCCCTTCTCCCAAAACACGCTGAAATGAAAAAGAAGGGTAAACTGGAGAGGACACCTCCATGTGTCCTGGAGACCTTGATGTATGCGGGTGAGTATTTTGTGATCTTTGCTAAAGTGACCCAACAGCTTTGCATGGCAGAGAACATCTCCTGTTCTAGTGGTCAGGCTCTAGCCTGCTTGGGTCATTTGTGGTGATGAGAAAGTTCGCACATAGCAGAGACTAACCAAGAATGAGAGGTAATAGAATACCCATTAGATTTAGTGACACTACCCAAATTCTTCACTAAATGGATATTTTAATTTTAAGGTAGAAACACAAAAGACTTTCACTTTCTCTGCATGTTTCACCCTGAAATACCATGGGAAGATCATTACAGAAAGGAGAAATTTCAGGCCCTATAGGCTTTCCTCTGAAAAATGTGCCCACTTCTCAAACTACAGACAAGCTTCTTTTTCTCTTTTTGGAGTCCATGCTATCTACAACTGGGCAGGAATGGTTGAGACATGCACTGGGGGCCACCAGCATCAAGAACAAGGCAAGTCAACCCCAACAGGTTAGGCCACTGAGTCTGAGTGGTCCAGCCTCTCTAGGGCCAGTGATTATCCCTGAAGAGGAGCCTCTTGTCCGAGATGGCCTTGCCTAACACCAAACAGCTCTATTTTCCTTGTCGCAGATAATAAGGTTCACACCTCTTGAGATCTGGCACCCAGACTATTTAGCAGATAGGTTTCTCTCGAAACACCTGGAGTCAGCTTTATTGTTGAAAATGGGGTGAGGGCACATAAACAGGGGTTTCAAGACCACCTGGGCCCTGTTCTCTGCCAGCCAGCATTCCCTGTGAGACTGCTGAGGGGAAACTAGTCCTGGAATACAGGCTCTGCTTTTGCTTGTGTGAATCCGTCTTTGGGCCAACCCTGCTGTTGAAGCCCAAGAGCCAGGTCAGAGTCGGGAGAATGAGGGAGCAAGAGGGCATGAAGATGGCAAGGGAAAGAGGGAAAAGAGGGAGATGGGGAGAGAGGGCTGGCTCAAGCTATGTCTTACCTCTGTAGGTTCTTGGGATGAAAAATATCTCCAAAGAGATATCTACATGTGGATCACATAATTTAGCTCTTTTCTTCCTCATGTGAAAACCTCTCTTCACCAGCACAGTACCTTGAAAAACATTCTTTGCCCTTGAATCTGACTCCTCCTCAGGGAGGGGAGTGCGTGAGGGGATCCTGGGCATCCTTCCCCTGGATAGAACACTCACCTCTGCCTCTTGCCCCTCTGTGGTGGGGACAGCTTTTCCTTCACATTCCCCCCACCCTTTCCTTTGGCTTGTTGCACAGTCTGCAGGGAATGGCATCTGGTTCTACGGCAGCAGGGGCATGACAGGGATCAGCTTACATGGTAGAGGCTGGCCCGCATCATCTGGAACTGATCAATTAGTTTCTTATGCAGAGGGCGCATCTCTGGGTGCACAAACTTCTCATGAACTGCGAGCCCAACTCCAAGGACATGGACCTATTAGGGTGACAGATAAGGCCACTCTGCAAGTCAGGGAGTGGACCTTGACAACTGCAGCCATCCTGTGGTGCATAGCTTTTCCCTCGTGGCCACTGGCCTCTAAGCCCTGTAAGTCATACCTGCTCCTGCATGAGCTCCTTGAGCTGGGTGATCTTCTCTGCATCTCCTGGGTGCTTGGCAATATAATCTTTGTCAAAGAAGGCCTGAGAAAGGAAAGGCTCAATCAGGAAGACTTCCCAGGACTACCCCTTAGAGGGGACCCAGGAAGTGTAAGTCTAAGGTACCATTTGAAAGGAAGGTCCTGACTCCTCACAGGTATACACACCATCTCCAGCCTGGCCTGCTTGGACCTCCTGCAATCAGAGGTATGTTTTTTTGCATCTAAGAAGGACTGAAGGTGGTCAAATAATCTAAGCCTGGGTACTGGTCCCAGTCCCTCACAGAGCTTTGATGGTCTGGGTAGGGCAGGTAGGGCTGGTGGCCAGGGTGTAGGGCTCAGTCTCTTAGATACCCACAACTTGCTTCTTGTAAAGGGCTGGGCTCCAGGGCTCCTCTTGGAGGCCATTTAACATCCTTCCCTAATCAGATGGATTACTCATCTGTCAGAGTTCAGAGAATAAAAAAGAAGAGACGGTCCCATAGGAGAGCCATGCCACAGAAACGAGGAGTGGTAGTGAGCCTCATGCCCGGGACCATCCTCCAGTCGGCTGAGGCACAGCTAAGGGAGGGCTAGCTGGGAAGGCTGCCCTAGAAGGCTGGGGTCTCAAGGAGAGGAGCCTGAGAACCACCTTCTCAGCAAGGCTGCCTGTTGTGGGTTTGGTCCAGGGCCCAGCTCACCTCTTGGTATCTTGCGACACCTCCATTGACAGCGGCATCGATGACGCCATTCAGGCACATGCTGAGCAGATTGATGTTGCCATGTGCCTGTCTGTGTTGATACTGGCTAATCAGGGCCCGTAGTTCCTGGTTCTTGTTCTCAACCACTTGGATGGCATTCTCCAGAGGGCTCACCTCCACCTGAGGGCACAGGGCACAGGGCACACAATGTTGTCCCAGGCATGATAACAACCCCTTCTTCATAATGATCCTGAGAACAGGGATCTAAGGCCAGTGATGCTGATTCTCACCCTTGTTCCTGTGGACTTAAGACTCCCTGACCCCTTTCAAATGTTCTCTTCTGATTTTTAGGCACTTAGAAGTATAGTAAAGAGTGAAGAACATCAGTTTTGAAGTCAGAGAGCTCTGACTTCCCGAACCTCAGAGAATAGTTTCCACATTTGTAAATTGGGAGATTAAAAATATCTGCTCCCCTGGTGTTGTCAGGATTAAAAGGGAGAAGATGTAACAAAGCTTCTGACACAGGATTGGCCTGTGGCAGTCTAGGCCAGGCAGGTGGCCAAAGCTCTCTTTCTGTCTTTGGTTCTTAGAGAAAGGTCCCCAGAGCCAGGGCTGAGGGAGCAGCTGTGAAGATCAGCTCCATCCAAAACGTGTCTCACCAGTTCCCTCCTCTCCACTTCGAACCACCGAGAGATGCCAGGCAAGCTGTGGGTGAGGGTCAGTGTGGTACGCTCGATCCACAGGCTCTGTAAGGATGGCACAGACAGGGACAGGCCATTAAGCAATTTCTTCCACACCTGCCTGCTTGAGGGATGAGACAGGGACAAGATCCTGAGAAAGTGGGGCTTGGCCCTGGCCCCACTGCCCCTACTTTCCCACTGTTGTTCACCTTGAATTCATTCTCCTTGTCCTTGGGGCCTTTGTGAAAAGGCCTGTCGTACCGGAACTTCCTCACATTGTTGACACGGTAGAAGCTCTTGACGCGATCTGGGACCCTATCCATTTGCAGGACATCCACATAATCTGGAATGGGCGTCACCGCATAGATCTGCAAGTCTGGGCAGGAAGTGAAGGGGAAACCCAGACTTGCCCAAGGGATGGATCTGAATACTGACCTCTGTCATCACCCAAAGGAGAAAAGAGCCCCATAGCCCCTGTTCCCTCCTGGCAGCAGCAAGGAGCAGGACCCTTGCGCAGACTCAGGCACAGTTAGACCAGATTTCCCTATCTGCACCCTCTTCCCGCTCTAGCATTGAGCCTTCTGAGCACTCAGCCAAGGTGAGATGTCAACAGCCAAGAAAGAAGGGAAAGGGGTCAGAAGAACGCAGGTGGCCACACCGCAGGAGCAAGAAAGTTGCAAAGGCCTAAGCCTGCCCAATGTAGGTAAACTGTATTTACTGCAGAACAATCTTTTAATAAGAATACTATTTGGGGTCTTTGTAGAGAGATAACATGGGAGTCCACCTGTTCTCCCTCCCTGGAACAAGCTTACAGTCATGGTGACTGTCATGAGGTCTCCAAGGAAGCTGTGTGAGGGGGATGAGGGGGAGGCCAGTATTTGTATCCACACTTCCAAGTACCACTAAAAACACAGGCACTCTCCATCTCCTTCCCCATACCCTCCATACCCACTCCCAGGGCTGTACCTCAGTCCTCCTGACAAAGACTAGGGATAATAACAGATGCACACAGGAGTAGAGCAGGGGATAGAAATGGTAGTTATCCCTGTGGCAAGAGTTCTGGTGGGATCCCCAATTACCCTGTACAGTGCCTGCTTCTGGATGCCTAGGCAGGTCCTTCACAGTGCCAGGTAGGGACTTAGGTGATGGTAGCAGCCCAGCCTGAGGGATGAAGGTCCCGCAGAAGCCCTGCTTCAGGCACCCACAGCTAAGGGCATGCCATGCTTCTTCTGTACAAGGCTGCATGAGGGTCCTGCTAAGTGTGGGTTCAGTGATGAGGACATATTCTGTTCAGGACTTATGGGTAACTTAGCCTGTAAGACCAACAACATAGCATAGGGGCAGCTGACTGGGTGGGCCTCACCTCCCAGGACCCCAGCCCGCCTTCCCTCGCCAAGCATAGAAAGATACACTGGGCATCACACTGCAGGATGGCATCATCAGGGTGGTTGGGGTGCTGCATGGCGACCGCCTGTGGGAACTCGCTGAGCATCCTCTGCTGGAAGGCCTCCAGCCTCTCGTAGTCATGGCCCCGGCACACGTATTCTTTGTTCTGCCACAAACAAGAGAGCATGCTCTATGCCTTGCCCACAGCCCCCACCTCCACATGGGTGTCAATAGCTACTTGTGTCACAAGCATGTTCTAGGAGCCCCTGTGACAGGCATGGGGCATAGTACTCAGACTCTGCCCAAAGGGAAATGATGATCCAGAAGGGAGAGGGACAGAAAAAGGGAGACTTGCACTGTGATGTGGCAGCCGGGAGGCAGGGCACAAGTTGCAGGAAGCAAAGGAGGGAGGGCGCCTTACCCAGGAAGGGGTGAGAGGTGAAGGGTGGGATTTTAGAAAAGGCCATGCCTGAGAAGAGTCCTGAAAGGCCCACCTGGGCAGCTCTGAGGGAGGAGCGGGGAAGGGTACTCTATGTGGGCACAGTGACAACAAGGGCAGCAACAGCCTGTACAGGAAAAGGTTGTGTGTGGAGAGGTGGGAGGGTGAGGAAGATGCCTGCAAGGAATGATTTCCAGGGGTGCCACCACATAAATCTTAACAGGGGGGTGACCAAGTGCATGCTTTTGAAGGGCCACCTTGGTTAGTGGGAACAAACAGTCCAAACATTATTCAGTGTCTAGTAGGTATTCAGTAATTATTTACTACATGGGCAGTAAATTCCTTTGCAATTATGTCAGCAGAACAAATAGACATCATCCTAACTACACATTTCTTAAAACCCTGTTAATACCATATTTGGTTTGGGTTAGGTCTCAGTTTTTCTTCTAGTGGGCTGCAGTAATAACAGGGCCCCCTCAACCCTGCTATGCTTACCTCACAGCTGGTCACGAGTGAATGGAACACTTCTCCAGCCCTCTGGTGATATATGTCTGCCTGCCCAACTACCTCACTAGATCCACTTTGACAAAGTTGCATCAGGCACTGGCAGCCCTTCCTGGCATGTCTTCAGAGGAAGAGAAAGAAGTTCCACAGGGCCAGCCATATGGTTACTGGTACAGGGATGATTATAGGCCAGGTCCTGGAGGACTTCACACCTTTTGGAACAGAATTTCTGCCCCCTTTTCACCTCTCCTCTTACTATGGGAGAACTCAGCTAAGGCTGGGCCACATGTCTGGATGAATCAGAATGGAAAAACAATACCAGAAGGGAAGTCACGGTCAGGAGGAGCAGGCTGGCCTCTCCAGTGAACAGACCAATAGTTAAAGGACAAGAGACATTTCTAAGTCCCTTGCTTGATAAGCAGAACTGACAAAGAAGATAATTGTAAATAACTGGTCTTTTCATATCAACTCAGAAATGTACAACCCTCACCAGTATCTGTTCCTGGGTCAAATAAAGAGAAACAGAAATTCCCCCAAGAAGGGAAGGCTGGATGTTTTCCTGTCCCTGTGCAGATTAGTAGATAATCACATTTGCAAAGCAAGAGAGGCAGATGGTCCAGGGAAACCAAGCTGACAGAGCTAAAGTAATAGATGGCCTATGTGTTCAAGGAAGGTGAGGGAGTAGCCTAGCCTTCTGGGGAAGGCCCAGCAGGAGGAAGGCACATAGCGTTGACCTTGATGCTGGTTGTCAGTTTCAAGTTGAGGATGCCCAGCATCCTCACATGAGACAGATCCGGCTGCTGCTGCTTTGTACTTTGTCCTTGCCATTTACCAGGCAAACAGCTACCTCTACTGGGACTTACTACATTTGCCAGAGATGAACTGAGCAGTGGAGGGAAGGGAAGGCAGCATGTGGCTAGGCCAGGCGGATCTGCATGCAGGAAACACAGCTCCTAGGGAATGCCCCTTGTGTGGAGACAGAGATGGACTGAGGGGTGACATTTCCTAACACCGATTGTTATTCTTCCTCCCTTACTGGCACTGCTGAAACCACATTTGAACATTCAGACTGTCGCCTGCAAGCATTATTTGGATGGCTCAGATGCAGGTTCTATGCCAGGTCTTACTTGTCAGAAAGCTCTGAGTACCCTGAGACACTGATATACCCTGTGACATAAGCATGAGTGGTGTAAGCCAGGGCAAACCACGATGGAGAACTCCTGTTTGAAGGGGAAAGAAATGAGGATACCAAGGGCCTGATTTTGTAGTATCCAAAATAATGATGTTTTAGAGTACAATCTGGTTTATGATATACAAATTGTGGGACTAAACAAGGAGAATAAAATAGTAATAAAGCGTACTTTGCAAAGACAAAATGAGAAAGAAGTTACAAGGCCAGAATCATTAGTTTGTCTAAGGACTTTATAGAGATGCTTTTGGTTTCTTATTCTTGTGTAATTCCTTCTTTCTCTTCTGCTGACCTCTACTTCCATTGCTTTTGTATACTCTCTACTGGTGGGGGCAGCAAATATGCCACTTCTGAGATGTCTGAAGTGGAAGGTCCCTAGAGAGTGAACAAGTCAAGTCTGGTCCTCCTGAGGAGACCCTCTCCTCATTCACATTCTGCTGCTAGAAACATTCCTGTGGACTGGAATTGGAGCCTTCCTGCAGGTCACAATTAGGCGCAGTGTACTTGCTAGCCCTGTCAGTGTTACTAGTTCTGCAGAAGTCAATTTTCTTTTTCACCTAGAATGATTACTGCCTAGGAAATGTGAAAGTTGATCTGCCTTACCACCTAAAATGTGGTTAGCCTGGACTCTTGCTAGCAGACTGGCTTTTTTTTAAATTTTTTTATTTTTTATTAAAAAAATTTTTTTTAACGTTTATTTATTTTTGAGACAGAGCATGAACAGGGGAGGGGCAGAGAGAGAGGGAGACACAGAATCTGAAACAGGCTGCAGGCTCTGAGCGGTCAGCACAGAGCCCAACGCGGGGCTCGAACTCACGGACAGTGAGATCATGACCTGAGCCGAAGTCGGACACTTAACCGACCAAGCCACCCAGGCGCCCCTGGCTTTTTTTTTTTAAAGGAGCCACTAAGCCCAACTGACCTGTGATGTGATACCAAGCTCATCATTGCTCACTGATGAAAGGAATTTTTCCAATAAGACAGGATCCCAAACATATCAAAGGGATTCTATTAACTTTCCCAGCTGCTGGTTGAGACTTGTAAACATGGAACATTAGTAAGATATTGGGACTGGGGACAGTCAGAGCTAGTGTTAGGTCCCAACTGCAGCCCAAGGCCCCTTCATCAGCACAGCTTCTTTTAGGTCCCCTGAGAATGATGAATCCCTATGGGCTGCAGCCTACAAGCCCAGACTGACTTTTCCTGGAGCCTCTGGCTTATGTGGAATAAAGAAGAGAATCACAACTGTTCAGCTGGTGTCAGTATGTCTATAGTCAGTCATTCCTTCTCTGTTGGTATCCCACCTCAGCCTTCCAGGTGGGAGAAATGGCTTTCACTATCCGGGGATAGAGAACTGGCTGCCAATAAAAGGCTTTCCATAGCCAGATCCCATTTGACAGCTCACAAGCTTCTCTGAAATCAACAGGTTCTCAATCCTGGCTACAGAGCATACAGTGCAGCCTGGTGTAGAGCCATCATCTTAAATGACAAAGCCCAACAGGCCAGCATCCTGTTTAGGTCAGGGTTGTACTGGTGTCCTATTTGGCTAAAAATAGTCACAATGGAGGATTACAGGCATTGGAACTATAAATTGGAAGGCTTCTAGACATACCTATGGGTCATTCTCAGACCCTGGTCATTTCCTGCAGGAATTTGGTTGATTTGGTAAGAAAGTCACCCTTGTATATTCCAGGTAGCTACAAAATAGTACAGCAGAGTAAAACAAAATCTAAAGTTGGGAGCCAGTCCAATCAAGTAAAGCCAAAAGCTTTTTGTTGACTAGTTAGTCCTTCAAAAAGTAGTATTCAGTAGAACAGGGGAAAAGATAAAAAACAGGTTATAAATGAATTACTGTGTAAAATATAAGTTCTTGTGACTACCTGAATGGACTCACCCGAAGGAAGAAAGGAAACTTCCTGCCATAGAAGCCGACTCGAAAGAACTCAGGCTCCAGGCGTTGCTGCTCCATGATGTTGTCATAGTAGCTGGCCTCCATTTTCTGTGAACAAGAAAGGCAGCTGCCTTTAGGTTGGCCTGACTGCTACTGGTGTGCAAAGCAAGTTCTCCCAGGTCCAAGTAGACACTGTCTTTTGGAAAGACTGTGTGAGAAGTGAGCCCCTAGCCATGGTCAGCATCTCCCCAGGTTGCCTCATAATGGAAGAGGAAACCCTCCTCTTCCATCATCCTCTGATGGTAGGGTGGGGACAGCAGCCCAGTGCTCATAATGTCCTACCCAGTGGGTGGGCCCAACCTGATACAGATCCAGGCTTCCTGAACTTTCAGGGGGCACAGGTTTAATATGAACTTTTTTTTGCCCAGGGATTTCTGTTTTTGACTGATACTCATTACACCAAATGACTTCTAGCTCATGTTAGTTAATTGGTGGCTAACAGCTATTCTCAGCACCATTTTCCATCAGTCTAACTGCATTGCTCTTGCTCATCTATCATCGGACTAAAGATGCTAGTAATCACAGTGAGAAAGTCTCAGTTGCCAGCATCACTGGTACTGGTTCCAATTTAGGAGATTTTAAACTTTGAAAGTTGAACCAATATCTATGATTTTTACTAACATCAGTAAGTTTCTTAGTATTGGCTGACCTGGCTTCACATTCAGAAAAACTCACTGAATTTTGACTGGGAAGATAGTTGTAACACACTAAATCAAGCCAGCTTGCTGAGGAGCAGTGGCCTCCAAAGACCAGTCAAGAAGCTACTTCTAGAGAACTACATCTATTATAAAGATCCAAATATCCATCTGGATCAGGGAACGTGGCACAGCTGGCCATGCTGCAGAGGGTGCAAGAGGAGGGTAAGCTGACACTGCTGGCTTCTCTTTGCTATTGAAGTTTGTAGCTGTTATGGCTCAGAATCCAGCACCAGCAGCCAGGAAAATCTGGTGGAGACCTTCAAAGTCCATGGGACATTTCACTTAATTTTTGAATATTTTGCATCAAAGAAGGGAATAAGAACAAGGTGCTTGAAAGTGACCACAAGCCAAAGCAGGGAAAGATCTTATAAAGATTTCATATGAAGCATCCCTGAGCAAAATCATTTTAGGTGAAGCTTCTTTGTGAAGGTGAGCTGCCATCTCCTCCGTGAACTCCCCCTTCTTATCCTGCATATGCTGCTTCTCCCTTCCCCCAGCACCAGTGGCCCTTGGGGTCTGGATCATATAATCATTTGTCAGGTGTGTGTTTTAGTTCCCCAGTCAGACTGCAAATATCTCAAGGGTAGGAACCTTGGCCTCTGCTTCTCCTGTACATCCACAGCACTAAAGCAAGGGCTAGACCTGCAGTGAATGCTCACTCAGAAACGGATGCCAGGACAATGCTAGTACCTCCAGTCAGGGTTGGGTTGGGGGAAGAGACAAAGCTCACCCGAATCCAGCTGAGGCTCTGATAATCGTAGAGGCTCTCGTATTGACATGCCAGCTCCCTGCACAGTGGGATTCCAAACTCCCAGCTCTGTGTTGGAAACAGGAACAAGGCTTCATCACCTCAGACATCCTCAGAATGGCCCAGACTCATCAAATACATTAGAGGGCACAACCAAAAGCCCCCTGCAACTCATCTGTCACAAAGAACATCTGCTCAAGATGAGTCTGTGGAGCACAACACACAGTGCTCTGGCTTTCTAGCTCAAGGTTGTCGCTTTGAGGTTTCTCCTCAAATGTCTCTATCTCCAAAAGGCCATTTCCTGACCACCTCATCAAGGACAGGAACTTCCCCAGCCATTGTCTGTTTCAGTACTCCCAAGTTATCTTTAAAGGTATTTACTTTTTTGTTGTATTAATCTCAATAGATGATAAACTACATGAGGGCAGGGATCCTGTTTATTTACTTTATCCTCAGAGCCTAGACCAGTGCCAGGCATGAGCAGATAATAAAGATTTATTTAGTAAGTTAATGAAGGAAGCAATGACTTTTGCTTTTATTTAAATTCCAGTTAGTTAACATACAATGTAATATTAGATTCTGGTGTACAATATAGTGATTCCATGCTTCCATATAACACCCAGTGCTCATCACAGCAAGTGCACTCCTTAATCCCCATCACCTATTTCACCCATCTCCCCACCCACCTCCCCTCTGGTACCACTCGTTTGTTCTCTATAGTTAAGAGTTTGTTTCTTGGTTTGTCTCTCTTTTTCCCTTTGCCTGTTTGTTTTGTTTTCTAAATTCCACATATGAGTGAGAT